AGACCTACTGAAATATTCCAGGAATGGGGGAAAATGATAGAGGGGATGAATTCAACTATGATATATTGTAAGAACTTTTGTAAATGTCATATTGTACCCCTAGTACAACAATAATTTTGTTAAAGTTTTCAAATAAATGAAATATTTTAAAGTTAAGAAAAAAAGTGAAACAATTTCTGTTTGGGGGTGGGAACCAGTAGGAAAGGGGAGGGTGAAAGGAGAGGGTGAAGGGAGGGTGAATATGATCAAAATAGTTTATACACATGTATGAAAATAGAATAATGAAATCTGTTAAATATGGAGGATGAGAAAGAATAACGGGGTGAACTGACTAAAATACACTGAATGCATATATGAAAATATCACAATGAAATCCCTATGTACAACTAATATATGCAAATAAAAAATGTGAAAAAAAAAATTCTCCATCACAACCTCAGAAGAAAACCCTAGGAACACCTTGATCTTGCATTTGTGGCCTCCAGAATTATGACAAAAAAATTTAAGATTTCTAAGCCAAAAACTGAAAAAGACTGAAATGATTTAGCATATTTCCCTTTAAAGTTAAAAGCTTTTGGAAGAGGAAAATAAAGCATTTACTGGTTTGTGGTACCTTCTTAGGGCAACCTTAGCAACACACACCAAGTTCAACATGGCAGTATTGACCCATCACTGTCTCAGTCAACACATGCAGCCTCGCAGCCTCGAGTGCCTGACTAAAATCAGCATCTGATAGACACCACGCCCTTCCAGCCGGCAAGTTGAGGGGGTCTCCTGAAGGAATGGGGCAAACAGCCCTACCTAGCTCCTCCAGCCAGAGCTCTAAAAAGGGCTTAAAGCAGAAAAGCTAATGATTTGCTTGTACTTCAGAAAGACAGGAAGCAATGCCTTCTAACTGCAATCCCATAAGTGATGTCCTCCAAAATGTCTCTTGTGATTATGTGATCTTGTGGCATGGAGCAGGTGAACAGTCCTTCTGTTTTTCATAAATTCCACAATAAAACCTGAAAACTCTGTATTTTCCCTTCTACCATGTAATCGAGGTGGAAGTACAAGCAGAGTAAATTTAAAAAAGCAAAACAATGGTTTGGGCTTAAACCAGATCTAGCTTGCAAATGCTTTTATTTCCACCCCCTTCCAAAATCTTTTAACTTTAAAGGGAAAAATCTACCAAATCATTTAAATTCCTTTAAGTTTACTAAGGCACAAAATATTTTGATTTCCTTTTAACCATTTCAAGAAACGGCACCTGGCTAAATTTAACACAAAATAAGTTTGGGCTTAGAGGCAGGGGAGGGAGGCTAACTGAACAAGTAAATTTTTAAAAAGCCCTGTGAGCTCGAGGTATAGCTCAAATGATAGAGGTCTTGCCTAGCATGTTTGAAACCCTGAGTTCAAACTCCAATACTGCCAAAAATAAAATAGAGTAAAATAAAAAGCCCTGTGAACTTTGAATGACTGTTCTACTTAGTTAACTGGAATTGGCTGACACTTTCCAATCTGGATATGTTGTTATCAATTATCATCATAAAACACAGGTAGGTTAGAAGAATAACAAGTTGAACACTTGTGTTTAACTCAGCTTCTTCCCAAAACCTCTTTAAAAGTACAACAAAAGAATTCTTCTTAAAGGTACAAACCTCACAGAAGAAAAGGGTGACTAATTTTTAAAAGCTAGGCCAGTGTGACAGTTAACTTTGGTTGTCAACTTGACTGTACTGAAGGATGCCTAGAAAATTGGTAAAGCATACTTCTGGATGTGTCTGTGAGGGTAATGGCAGAGAAGACTGGCATATGGGTCACTGAACTGAGTGCAGAAGACCCACTATGAATGTGGGCACTGCCCTCCAACAGGCTGAGACCAGCTGGAAAAAAACGGTGGAAGAAAGGGGAAGCTCATGCACTTGTGCACTTAACCCTTCTTCTGGCATGAATATTTTGCTGCTGCTGTCATCCACAGACACAAGACTCTAGCCTTTGGACCAAAACTTATACCTGCGGTTTTCAGGCCTTCAACCTCAGACTGGAGCTGCATAATTTGTTCCTCTTGTTCTGAGGCTTCTAGCTTCTTGCACTGAGCAGCTACCAGTATTCCTGGCTTTCTAGCATGTACAAAGCACTGTGGTACTACTCAATTTCTGACCATGTAAGCCAATCTCGTAAATCCCTTACAATTATTCATATACAAATACACACATACATACATACAGATATACACACACACACACACACATTCTATTGGTTCTGTCTCTCTGGAAACCCCGAGTAGTGCAGCCATTGATAGACAACGATAAATAGCAGAAATAAGAAAGATATACTAGGGGCTGACGGAGTGGTTCCAGTGGTTCAGTGCCAGCCTAACAAGCATGAAGCCCTGAGTTCAAACCCCAGTCCAAAAACAAGAAAAAGAAAAGATAGATATACCAAAGCAGTACTGGAGAAAGCTAAGAAATAGTCAAATAAACATCACAGAACTTCCCAAGACAGTCAGGAAGCAGTGTTATCATGACCTCCAGAAAGCACATACAATGAAATGTATAAAAAGGGAAAACTAGCTGACAGGCTACTTAAGATCCTGTTATACTCCACATCTTCCTCTCCTATTGTCAAAGCAGCAGGATGACTCTCAGGAGAAGAAAAACAGCTGGTCTTAGGACTAGATTACCAGTCTCAGTTGAGGACAAGGGTATTCCATCAGTGAACTTCTGCTGCATAACAACTGCTCCAAATTCAGTGGCTTAAAAGAGTAAAGTTTATAATTTCTTATGTTTCTGTAGACTGTCTGGGCTGGCTAGTTTAGGACCACCTCATTCACATGCCAGGAACTGCTCTCCATATGGCTTCTTATCCCCAAGGAGTCTAGTCTTGGCAGAATAATCCAGCAGCAAGAGAGGTCAAGCTCCAATGCAAAGCCACTTTTCAGGCCTCTACAGGCATCTCACTGGGTCATTTCCTTCCCAGTGGCAAACAAGTCACATGATTATATCCAGATTCAAGGAGATACTGCAAAATGTTAAAACACTTTTTCTTATCTACTACAGGTACTATAGTGAAAACAAGAGAATTAGGAGCAAGTTTATATCAAGAATATTTGCAGATGTCTTCCAGTCCACTTCACCTACTTGGCTCCCAGGACGCAGGCAGCCATGCATCTCAGGGAAATCTCACAAGCAAAAGGGATGACCTAAGTAATGGCTTGACAAGTCAAGTGCAAAAACCAGCCTCATCCTGAGAGTTAGCTGCCTAATCAGCTTCTAAGCCTACATTGGGAGACAGCTAAGAAACACAAGGATAACTTTTAAAGACTAAGACAGTCTAACAATATTTTGATAGTATGAATTGCTAAAAGACTGTTTCTCAAACTCACAACTATACATCAATTAATGGTGAATTTTTCTGTACGTAAATTTTACCTGTAGCAAATTGGGAAAAACAATTGAGGAAAACAGACATACAATAAGAAGTCTTTAAAAGCATACATTGTTAACATCATTTGAGAAGAAATTGGAGAAATTAAGCCTATAAAAAAAGTACAAGACCTTACTTACAAAAGCAAAAAAAAAAAACTTTAGGTAAACCAAAAAGGCTCTTAGATTTTAAACACATGAGAACAATGAAAGCTCAATAAAAATGATTAGCAAAAAAAAAGCTAGAGCCAGGAATGATGGCATATACAACTGTAATTCCAGCACTCAGGAGACTGAGGCAGGAAGATTATGAGCTCAAAGTCAGCCTGGTTGGTCTCCAAAATAAATAAATAAATAAATAAATAAATAAACAAAACAAGAAAGAAAAAAGCTAAAAATATAGCAAAACAATAAGATAAGCCAGTCTACAGCTCCAAAGTCACAGCAAGGGTCCTAGAAGATCACAGAAAACAGAAACGAAAAATCAGGAACAAGAGAAAGAACTCCCAAAACTGAAGTGTGAATTTCCAGGGTGAAATTCTCAGCAAGTACCCAGCATAATGGATGAAAACAGAACCATACCAAGACACATCGTGACGTTTTCCAAGAATAACGGAAAAAAGCAGATCATAGAAGGGGATACTGATTCTGAGAGAATTGAAAATACATTTCAGAGACAGGTGTAGTGGCTTGCGTCTGTAATCCCAACACTTAGGAGGCAGAGAAAGAACACTACAAGTCAAGTCCAGCTGCAAGTAGAGTCCAGCCTGAGCTACACAGTGAGACCCTATCTCAAAAACAAACACAAAAACTCTGCACAGCCAACAAGTTCACGTAAATCATGACCAATATCTGGAAATAAAGAGAGAAATTCTTCAAAATAAAAAAAAACTTTCAAACAAAGAATCACATATTGAAATGGTATCAAGTGCCTCAACAGCAGATTAACTAGAAGACATAGAAATGCCTTTAAATTTCCTAAGAAATTTTTTTTTTTTTTTGGCAGTACTGGGGTTTGAACTCAGGACCACATCTGGTTGCTAGACAGGTGCTCTACCACTTGAGCCACTCCTCCAGACCCTCCTAAGAAATTTCTTAACGGAGATTCTCTACAGAGTCAATTGCCTGAGCACTATCTCCACCCCTTCTACTCTTTCCTTATCTTTCCCTGAATTTAACTGACTCCATGTCCATTGCTTTCTTTTTCCAGCTCCTACTATGTTATGGTGGGAGAGCATTAGATATGGAATCAATATACTGTATTTGCATGACTGACATCTCACTTAATTCCTTTCAGCCTTGATTTTTTCACCTATAAATGGGGACAGTATTCCTTGAGGACAGAGACCACACGGTCATCTCTGCATACTCTATGATACTTGAATTCAAGAGACACTGAAATGCTCTTGGGGTAAATAAATGAATGCATGTAAAACCACACTTCAAAGAGCAATCCTTGGTCAATAAATTCCTCTCCTGCTCCTGGCTCTCTCACCTAGAACAATCTCAATACACTACAAAGCCACATGTCCGTATCTCAGGAAACCAGATTTGGCAGCAGCTTGAAGATGCAAAATGGAAAGCAGGACATACCTGGAAGGAAGTAGGGATACAGACGAGGTTCAGATTCTCTTGCTTCACTCTTTCAGCTGTGGGGTCAAAGGTCACATTGGTTTGTTACTCTCTTCACTTTATAAATGTAGTTGCATTTGTTCAAATCCAAGTGAAAGGGAAATGGCCTATTTCCCCCTGACCAATGTCTTTCATTCTGTCCCCATTCTTGAAAAAGCTAGTGATCTCAAATCACACATCAGAAGACAGGACACCAGGAAGCCTAGGGAGGTTAAGCACTGACCACAGAAAAAGCAATGCCAGTGCTGCTATTGTCATGCCTGGCAGTATGCTAAGAACTCTGTACAATGAGCTCTTTTAATCCTAAAAACCCCAAAGGTAGGTTATGATTATAATTTCTATTTCATAAATGAGGAAACTGAGGTACAGAGAGGTGAAAGGACTTTGGTAATTATACAGCTGCTCAGTGGCAGGGCTAGAGTATCAGGCTAAGCAGTCCAACTCCAGTCTCAGCTACTACTCTACATTGCCTTTTCCAGGGAAAACTCAGAACTTTACTTCTGCATGTAGTAAAAAATATAATCATTTATAGGTCCAAAGGGTTGTTAAAGAAGGTTCGTTTATTTTAGATTTATTCATTTTAAACTTTCAGGAAATTTTAATTTAAAAAAAAGTCTTAAAAAAAACTTTCTTTTTAAAATCTCAAAGCCTTTTTATCAAGTCTGCACACTGGAAGGGTTGGATGCCACTCATAAAATCCACAGCAATCCTGTGCCCTAAAATCCTGTACGTGCTGGGTTACTGTAGAAAGGCATTAAAGTTCTGGCTTGGCCAGTAAGGAGGCTCCCAGAAGCCATGACATCAGCACTACAACTACTTTTTTTTTTTTTTTTTTTTTTTGTGGTACTGGGGTTTGAACTCAGGAACTCAAGCTTTCTAAGCAGGCGCTCTAACACTCGAGCCATTCTGCCAGCAACAACCACTTCTTAATGACAAAGGGAACCTGGATTTTGCCTTTAGAGTCCTGACCCTTGTCACATACAAGAGATTAGCATTGGGTAAGCCTCTCCCCAGGCCTTGTTCTTACAAACAAAAACAGCGCAGCAGAACCTGTTGAGCAGCCACTGGGGCTGATAATTCCTGAGCCTCCCCTAACCACAGACACAACTCAATCTGGGTGAAGTAAACATCTACAGGAACCAGCCACAATCCACTCCACAGGGTCACAAACAGGGCAAATCCACTCTGTTCTCGATTTGTTTGCCAAAAGAATCCTAAGACCACACATAGGACCCCTGATGGGAGTGTACCACCAAGATGACTAAAATTCTGCAGGAATCTCAGCTAAGGCAGTTCCTCCTCCCCAGATGGGCAGAGTAAACAAATGAACCCCCAGTGTTAGCAGAAGACCCACAAAATCCCTCTTTCCAAGTCTTCTTTGGAAACACTGAGCTGACCTCAGGCAAGCAGCCTCTTCTCCCAGATCTGCACTGCTAGAACCCAGACGGGCAAGTGTCAAACCTGTGCCTGCTCCCTCCCTTTCCTCTACTTCCACTCCCATGATCACACACAAAACATCCAGTAGACAGTCTAAAAACATACCTATTCGCTGCACAGCATGGACAATTGTAGAACCACTTCCAATTCCCAGCACTTGGTTATTCTGTGAAAAAGAGGAAAGAAAAAACAAAACTAATTATCATCATATTTTACTCCCTCTTCAGCCTACTTTGTAAAGCTATAAAATTATTATGAAGAGCAATTCACCAACACAGGTGCAAGGCAGGTACTGTGCCTACTTTACAGCACATAACCACTGAACCTCAAAGCTGTACTTTAATCCAGTGTCCAGTGTCCAATGGGTAATTAATCAACAGAGCTTTCATTTTTGACACTGCCAGCATCACTACTCCCTCCCAACATGCTACCAGACAAAATGATTGGCTCAATTACTTACAGCGTATAGCAACTTAAGTTGGCCTCACAGAAATGGCCTGCAGACAAACACCAAAAGATTTCTAGACTAATCAAAAGAGGTAATGAGAAAGAAAAAAAGCCCTAGAATTAAACAACAGAGCAGGGGCAAGGGTGGAAAGCTAGAGTTTCTGGTTTTGGTGCCTTTTCACACAAGCTTAACACCCAGCAGGCAGGGGACTGCCATCTTTTAGTTGGAAACAGCACAGGAAACCTCAAGGGGCACAACATCCAGAGCTCTCCCTAAATCAGTAGAAGAGGGGAAAGGTGATGCTTAAAATAGTCAGCATCTGTCCAATTAATGCCCAGGGGTCCCTATTTTGCCTGAGTCTGCCTCAGAGAAAATGGGAAGAGAGTAAAAGCCTAGTAAGGAACATGAGAAATAGTCTTCATATGCAACAAGGTGTGTAATAGATGTGAGTCACTTTCTAAGTACAAAGGACAAGAAACACATGTCACAATATTGAACCTGCCATCTTACGAAAGGGGGAAGGTACCTATGAGCAGACCAGTCAGACCAGGAAAAGCAAAACAAGGCCAGGGACTACCATTTCAAGGTAACTCCCTGGGATCAACCTCCAGCTAGGCTATGGTGAAACCACTAAAACCAAAGCAGACCCTACCATTTGTTAAATGCCTGGCAAGAATATTACAAATATTAATACAAAGTCAAATCTCACAACAATCCTTATGACCCAGAGACTCACTGTCTCCACTTTAGAAATTAATCCAATATCTTCAGAGGAAAAAAAAAAAAAAGACTTTGAAATGAGCAGAATACAGGATATCCTTTTAACTGAATGTCGGAACCTTACAATGGTGTGTGCTATTGATAGCTCTATAGAGACAAATTTTAACTTGCAAAAAACTTAACAAAGCAAATTCTTTAGAGGAATGCAAATTAATTATGGTTGATAGGATGCAACTGATTATTGTCCTATAGATATTACTCAATAAATTCTTAAAATTCATGTTAACATTTCTTGATCGCATCCATCTCACCCAAGTCAGACTGGCTATCATCAAGAAAACAAAATATTTTTGAGCCCTCAGTTCCCACCCTCTGCATGTCAGGGGATGCTTTCTCTTTCTCCACTTATTTTACTCTGCTTTACTAATAAATCCTTTTGGCTCATGGAAAAAAAGAAGAAGAAGAAGAAGAAAAGAAAAAGAAAACAACAAATGCTGGTGAGAATAGGGGTGGGGAATGGACAACTCTCATACACTGATATTGTGAATATAAACTAGTACAACCACCATGAAAACCAGTATAGAGGTTCCTCAAAAAACTAAAATTAGACTTACCTAACACCCAGCCGTACCACTCTTGGGCATATATCCAAAGAAATGTAAATCAGTACATACAGACATATACTCATGTTTATTGCAGCTGTTTCACAATAGCCGAACTGTGAATTTAACTGAGATGCCCAACAATCAATTAATGGATAAAGAAAATATGGGAAACACACACACACAATGGAATATTATTTAGCCATAAAGAAAAGAAAAGTGAAATTATGCCATTTGCAGGAAAATGGATGGAACTGGAGATCATCATATTAAGTAAGATAAGACTCACTACCACCAACAACAAAAAAAGGTTAGGGGCATGACACAAGTGGTAGAGCACTTACCTAGCAGATAAGTATGTATAAGGCCCTGGGTTCAATCCCTAATACCACCCCCCAACAAAATAATAATACACATTATACATGTTGTACAGAGCCTTGAGTTCAAACCCCAGTTTTACCACCACCACCAAAAAAAAAAAAGACAATAAATATGTATGTTGCAAGTCAAACCACCATAAGACAGGGACTGTCTATATTAAGATGTGGGACCTTTGGGGGGTGATTAGGCCACAGGGGCTGCACTCTCATTTGTGGGATTGATGCCCATCTATGGCACCTATTTCCTTCCTCCTCCCTCCCTCCTTTCCTTCCTATTTCCTTCTCCCCCTCTCCCTATGCCAGCTATTGAATTTCCCAGCTGCCAGAACTATGTGGCAATAAATTTCTGTTCATTACAAATATTTCAGGTATTATTTTCAGGTATTATTACATCAGCAAAATGGACTTAACACATGTGAACAGGTTCTAACACCTTTTCCAGTTTCATTAATTTAATGAGTTAAAAATTTTTAACATATGTTCATTTTATATTTGTATTATGATTCTTTTTATTTTAAAAAAATCATCTTTTAACAGTGTTGAGACACACACACACACACACACAAATAAAACCTCACTTTGAATAAACAATTTCAAGAAGTTCACTTTGCTGAAATAGCATTGCATTTCAAATTTCATAGAGTTCCAACAACTAACAATTCATCTGGCAGGAAAAAATCCCATTGTGAAACTTTCTTTTTAGGAAGAAGGAAAAGTTCTGTAGGCCCCTCAAAAATAAATAAATAAATAAATAAAATAAAAAACTGATGACCATAGGTAATACCTCTCACTCCCAACAGTACAAAAGCCAGAGGAATACCCATTGGTAAGCCCCAGAGCCCCACATTTGAATTGGTCCTTTTCAAAGTTAGACTGTCTAAAATAAGAGAACATTAGAAAGAATAATCAACAGGCAGAAAATTTTAAAAAAATAAATAAATAACCCACACAAGTCAAATACTAATGTCCCCAGCAACCATGTATCTGTACACTAAAAAAGCTTCCAGCTGGGCCTCTCCTACCTCCAGAAGACTTTATCCATCAATTTCTGTGTTCTTAATCTGGTAGAAACAATTTTTACTAGTGCACAGTTCCAAAGTCACCAAATGGACCCAATGTTTAGGCCATCCGAGCAGAGCTCTGCAAATTCCACCAGTGACAATGCCCTCAAAAGGCAATGCATCTAATAAAGTCATTTATCTGACTGGGCAAACCCCAAAGGCCAGGACTTCAAGAAAACTATATGGGCATTACAAGCCATCATGACACAAAAACATTCCAAATGGCTACATATCTCAATACGTAAAAATCTTCAAGTATGAAAAAATGTGTTGACCTCTCAATACACAGGTATGCTAAACCTGACCTTCACACACCTGAGTTGAAGCCAAGCGCTCCAGCTATACAGCAATTCAATTGCCAGATTCCTCATTTCCAAGCTTAGCCATACATTCACATCTCTTGCAGGCTTCCAGAAGGCTGGTTGCACATAAGATGAACTTGGGTACAACAAACAAGCTCTGTACAAGGCCTCTGCTTTGGTTTTCAGAAGAGGCCAGGAATTGTGGGGGCCTGACAGACCCAAAACTTTTAAAAATCATGTGATCCTGCTACCTTAGAATCAAATTACAGACCCGGGAGTCAGTGCCCTAGACAAAGCCAAAGGGAAGGGGCCAATGGCCCCCTGTGGGGTAGTCCAACAGCAAAAAGCCCTTCTGAGCCACATGTCATACCTGCAACATCACTCATCCTGTTCAAAGGGGGTAACCTTAGGAATACTTTTGCTGACCAATTAGAACCACTGCCCAGTAACTTCTTCAAGATAAGCAACGAAAAAAAAAAAAAGAAGCCCAGACTCCACAGAGAAAAAAGGGATGTGGCTACAGGCATTCAGGAGAGCCACTCCTGCATGGTAACCTATCCTAGATAACCAAACACACCCAACCCCAGAAACAGGCAGATCTAAACCAAGATACAAAGGATTCAGCTGAGAATTCTCCAAGTACTCCCATCCACTCCATCCAGTGGAAATGGTCACCATATTGAACAACGGTGGGCTAGGGGACTAGAAACTCTACACTCACAGATTCTAAGCAAAGGGCCACCAACAGCCCCACAACCTCCATATTAACAAACATTTCCTGGGCAGGTCTCACTGTGGCCCACACTGAACGAAGATAAGGTTAACTATCATCCAGGAGCTTATTCTTTGGGGGCTGAGCAGTACAAACACAGATGACTAAAACATAAGCCATCAACATAAAGCACCTAAGAGGCACAAAGAACAGGAGGAGGAACTGTCCTCTCCTTAGGAAGCTAAAGAAAAACTGAAAGCAGGAAACGGTCTATAAACCAAACCCTAAAGGAATAACAGGACTTTAACAGGTGTCCCCAAAAAAGCCAATGGCGCTCTCCCTAGGATCATCTCATAACTTCTTTGAATGACGCAGCTGTAATCCACTGTTCTAGGGCTCTACCTTGAGATGAGGGCCTGAAGATTTTTATTTAATCAAATACATTAACTATAAAACCTAGGTCAGGGAGATAAGAGCCACTAAATAGTAATGTAAATATATTAACAGGAAAATATATAGGGCTCTTCTAATTGCATGGATTTCATTTACCCATCTATTAAATCACTTTATGTGGGTATTTTGAAATTTCAGCTTATTATTACAATTTTACAGCTGTGGTTCTAAATCACAAACATAGGACCAAATTACTCATTTTACATGCTCTCTCTTAATTCATATAAAAAATCCTATTGCTAATCAAACTTGCAACAAGTTACATCAGGACACAGCAGCCACCAAACTGATGGAAGGTACCAGAACAGGAATGACTTGGTTTGTCCTTCTACAGAACAGGCAGGGCCACCGGTTATGTCACTGGCCTCTCCCACTTAACCAAGTTGCAGAGAAGCTCAAAGGACATCACCTTTGCAAAGATCATGCTTTGTACAGCAAAGCATTAAGAAATGTAAAGAAATCTCATTTGAGAAGAAAAGAGCATCCGATAACACTACCTAAAAAGTAGAAAACAGACAAAAGACAAGGCCAGGAAATTCCAACGCCACAGGGCAGAAATACTCCATGTGGGTTCGGCTGAAGTACTATAATGAAGATAATTAACTTGATTGGTGACAGCAAACCCACTTGGTGAAAAGAATTCACTGACAGCACCACACCTGCCACTTATGCGGCCACGACCTCACTGGGTAAATGCTGAACATCTCTGAAGCCCCACCTCAAAGAACAGCCTTCTCCAGACTTGAAGTGTCCACTCGGCCCTTTCAAAGGTAGGAAGAAGTTCTGAGTTCCAACCTGCCCCTTTGACTTGGTCTCTCCTTTCCCCTGAGCACAGTCAAGAGATTGGCGCTAGCCAAGCTAAAAGCCTCCTTGGAGTGAAATTTCAAAGCACTTTGCAAACTTGCTCTCCTGGCTGGCTTTCCCAAGAAGTGAAGACCAACCTCCAGGCAGCCCCATGGCTCACCATTTACCGTTTGTTAATCAGGAGACCAGCCAGTATGTGCCTCTAAACCACCCCACCTCCCGCCCCCTGCAAACATCAGACACTACCAGGCTCCACTCTGCAGGCTGTTTCAGCAGGGCAAGGAGTCTTTGGAAAGTTAGATTTGGGAGGGACTTGATACCAACTGATTCCGTATCTAAAGGCCTTTCAGGAGCAGGGGAGAGAGATCAAACTCCTGTTAAGCGCTCACCCTCTCCCCTTCTCACACAGCCACCGTCTTTCCAGGAACTAGGCACGCCCTGGCAGTACCCAGAGCGCGCAACAGGAGCCCATCACGACGAGGACAAACGCCCCAACGCCCCGAGCTGCTCACCCTCACATGGTTCTCCACGGCCGCACGGCCCGCCAGCTTCTTGGCCTCTTCAGCCTTGGACATAGTGGAGGGGGCCGGGAAGACGCTGTGAGAGTCCGGGCTGCTGGTGCTTGGGCTGTCTAAGCCACCGCGGGTCCCGGACTGTGCACGCCCCGGCAGCTGCACGTGCGAGCCTTGGAGGCCCCAGCTGTTCCCGCCTCCGCCGGAGGCCGCGCCCCCGGCCCGTCCGGGCAGCGGGGCCAGGACCCGCCCGTAGAGGGTGCTGAAGGGCCCGGGGCGCTGCATCCCGACACTTCGCTCCAGCCTTTGCTGTGGTCCCGCCCCCGGCTACTGCGGAAGTCGTTTCACTCACTGCACACGGCTCGAGCGCGCTGATGCGGCGGGGCCTGCTGGGATGTGTAGTTCCGTAGTATCAGTGGCCCGTAGCCTTGTACCAACCTGGACTAACAGCCCCACAATGCCCGGCGACTAAATGCGTAAGTCGACCGCGACGGACTCCGGCGCGTCAGGCGGTAAGGTCCGACAGGCACCGCTAGCTGAGGAGGGGGAGGAGGGGGAGGAGGGGGAGGGGGGAGGAGGGGGGGGGAGGGGGGAGGAGGGGGAGGGGGGAAGGTGGGGGAGGAGGGGGAGGTGGGGGAGGAGGGGAGGAGCTGAGGAGGGGGAGGGGGAGGGGGAGGGGAAGGTGGGGGGAGGAGGGGAGGTGGGGAGGTGGGGGAGGGGGAGGAGGGGGAGGAGGGTGGGTGTGATGAATAACTCTCCACCTTTAGAGTTTCCCTCTATCCTAAATGGTAAAGGGGGAGGTGGAGTACATTCCTTTTGGAGCCATTTAACAGGCAAACTAAAGTCAACCCCAGCTTTACCGACCACTTAAAATGTGTGGTATTTATTCTTTGCGTCTGTATTAGTGGAATTCTTTTTATCTTGAGCTCAAGGCCTTCAGCTTCACTCCAGGTCTTTGACTTTTGCATGCAAAGCCCCAGTAAAAGCAGCTGTGACCGCCATCATCTAGGCTTGGGGTTTTTTTAAACTGTACTGTGCAATCTGATATCTATCCTTTAACATCCACCTTGAATTGAAGGGGGGAAAGTTGTTCGAGATTCTTGGTTTTAGGCGAAATTCAGAAATTAGCGTGAGGTTATGGCAGAGAAGCAGAAAAAATATCTGGAGTCCTGCCGTTAGGTAACAGCCATGAGCAGTGGGGTCATGCAAAGAAAACCCAAAATGGAGGTCCTTCAAGGTCTGCAGAGAAGAACACTTAACAGCCCGATTAGGATCAAAATATCCCACCAAGGTCATGGACTGTAACAAGATTTTTTGAGTCACTCACACTAAGGTGGGTTGGCATCAGTTCCTGAGACAATAGCTCTTACAGAACAGACCCTAAGAGTCAGGTGGACCCAATAATGTTAACTTGTGACTGATCCTAGCGAGGGACTTAATATTTAAAGCCCCCTCAAAAACTGGTGCTAGAGTTAAAATTGTCATTCTCATTATTTCTCTAGAGAATATCTACTTTCAGGGGTTGGGGATTTAGCTCAGTGGAAGAGCGCTTGCCTGGCAAGTGTAAGGCCCTGAGTTCGGTCCCCAGCACCGAAAAAAAAAGGAAAAAAAATAGAGAATGTCTATTTTCAGTCTTTTGAAAATGTATTCCATTCCTAATAAACTTTACTGTCACTTTGACTACATTTTTGTACCTCACCTGGATGCCCTTCCAGTAACACTGCTACTGTTGGTCTGCAAAGTTGAAAGCCACCTTAATTAATTTCAAAGCCTTTTCTGTATCTCCTTGGAGGCAGCCTTTCCCTGTTCTGAATTCTCAGCACCCACTAGCAAAAAGTTTATGGAGCAAGTATTGACCAATCTCTGGTTTATTACTCCAGCCTAATGGCCTATAAACCACCCTAAGTGTACTACTTGCCTACCTACCCCTTCTGCCAGGTGTATCTTGTCAGCTGAATGCCACCTCCTTAGAGAAGGCTTTCTGACCATCCTAGCTTGAGTTTCCCACCATCCTCTCTTGCTTTCCCTGTGGTTTATTTCTTATCACAGAACTTTTCCTTGATCATTTGTTTACTTAATAAACAAATAAAGATGATCCTCAACAAATACCTAAATCATAACTTCAGTAACATACATTTCATGCCTAAACCCCACACTCCACCTTCAGCCACATAAGTTTTCGTTCTTTCACACACTTTTATTTAGTTCTGTTTTTGCACACACCACCCTTCTAATTCTCCGATGTTCTTCAAGACTGCATTCTGTTACTTACTATTCTGCAATCCTGAATGCCCTTCCTAATTGGAGTGGCTGCTCCTCTGTGCTTCCAATCACCTCTCTCCTCTCTGTCACAGTCCATCTTGCTCTATTCACTTCGCTGTCTCACTCAAAAGGATATGGGACCCTTAATAGCAGAGATTATTCACCATAGAATCCAAACCACGTCGCTCAATATTTGGGGGTGAACAGTGTTTTCTCTAAAGGTCAACCTGTCTGTCCCTCTTTCTCTTTCCTTCTCTCTTCTCTCTATCTTATGTTCTTTTCTCCAATCCTACCCCTTTTTAATTCTTTTCTTTAGATCTGCCAGTGATGTCCAGTGACTCACTCAATCATTCTGAAATCCCACTGATGGTTCTTAGGGCTGAATACTAGGCTAATACCTTGGAAGAATTTGAGCATTGTGTTCCTGTGACACTTTGTATAGGCACCATGCTAAATGCCTTAAAGACTATCCCCTACCTCCCAAATAGAAGTTTCAATTGGAAGGAAAAAGGGGACAATACTGATTGCAGGGAATTTAAGCTGCATGCCAACCAAGAAAAAAAAAAAAAAAACAGGCATTTTATTGAATTGTTGGAGTAGTTGGATAACTTTTGTTAGTCTTGAGTATCGTATTTTTAAGAAATATTGTTTAAGGAGATCCCTCCCCTCATAAAATATACATCAGTGGCCAATTTGTCCTTGGAGATATCCTGGCATTAAGTTGCACCTGGTGGGTTTTTTCTCTTGTGGTAAGATAAGGAGATAAAGGACAGGCACATTCTGTACATTGTTGACAAGGGAGAAGAGAAACTCTTGGTGGGCAACATATTTGTGGGTTAATGGTGGGAGAACCATTTTTCCCGTGAGGGTCTCTATTTCTATTTCATTACCCCTACAAGTATTTCTTCCACTTTAATCTTAAGGGAGTGTTGAATGGTGAAGGTCCAGCTTCCAAAACTGCTTTTACAATGCTAGGAATCTCTCTGTATAGCTGTCCTTATCTCAACTAGCAAAAATGCTATGTCTTTCTTATTACTTCTTATTTCTACTCTTAAATGGAACTGGAGAAAAGCACAGAGCAGGTTCTGTCTGAAAGTGAGGGGGGAGAGGGGGAGAGGGTGGGAGCGGGGGCAGGGGGGAGAAATGACCCAAACAACATACACACATGTCAATAAATGAATAATTTTTAAAAACTGCTTTTATAGTTGTTTGGGGACTGATGACCCTAGCTGAGAAGTAGAAATCCTTGGACACATAATCTAATGAGGACAAAATTAGTAGTGTAGACTTTCTGTCTGGGATGGGTTGAAAAGTCACAGGACATCAGCTTGACTTGGAACTTGTGGAGTCTGAAAGACACAAATTATCTCCTTGGTGGACTAGCTCTTAACAGGCACGTAGATTCTTTTAAGGGTTCACAGGTGTACTTATGTGGCTTTGGGGAGTGCTATTACAACCACTCTGGTGAAGGAAAGACTCAGGCAGCTGCTCAGCCACTTGTGGAGACTGTGTCCAGAAGTCCTGAGTGCAATGGATCTTACCTACTCTGGGTTCATCTCATGAATATTGCTTTACAGACTTTCACATTTAGAAGTAACAACTCCAAGAAGTACACACTGTTAGCTCCACTGTACAGATGGGGCATGAGGGAACAACTCCCTTCTCCAAGGTCACACTACTTGTAAATGAAGTTGGGATACAAACCTTCAGTGATTGTAGAACTAGATCTTACCGGAGATAATTGGTGGGAATTTATTGCCCCACCCCACCACAAATATAGTCATGAACTTTGTGTAAACGGCCCAGGTAATACCTTTTCTCTTTAAACTCACAAGTCATAGCAATGAGTCTTAAGACAAAATGGATAAGGGAAAAAAGAAAAAACTATGTAAGTACTGAATAAAGAAAAATGCGTAAGTTTGGAATGCTAGGCCATGTTCAGGTTCTCACAGGTTGAAATCAACGTACTTTTTTTCAATTTGATTTGGTTTTTGTTTTTTTGAGATAGGGTCTCAATTATTAGCCCAGGCTGACTTTGAATGCTCAATCCTCCTGCCTCTACCTGCAACTTTGGAATTACAGATGTGCATCATATTGCTAAGCAGTAATATGAAGTATGTTTTTGTCATGCTGGGGGTCAAGCCCAGCCCTTTATGCATGCTAGGATAGTGATATACCACCGAACTACATCCCACCCTCAATCTACTTTATAATTTTCATATCCACTGAAAAGCCTGTTTTTCTTTCTAGACTAAGAAAGAACTGCATAAGGCTCATTCTTTGTCTTTCATGGAATATAAAGAAGTTATGTTAAGATTCTAAGGAATTCTTAGAAAACAGTTTTCAGGATCAGATTAGTGCCAGGAGGCAAAGCTCACATCCTGCACTATTGTTGCTAGCAGGAGGGAGGGCCTGGGCATGGAAGGGCTTTAGGCACCTCACCCCCTAAGGCTGAAAACAAAGACAATGGGACACACTGGCACTTCCCAAAAGGCTGGGAAGGAGGCACCCCCACGCAGATACAGCCACTTTGTATGCCTCCCTGGACTTCAGTGAAGCAGGGAAAACTCCACACTTTCATTCCCTCTCCCTTCTCTTCTTGTTTTCTTCAGAGTGTGATTATTTTGATCCCAGGGAAGAGTATAGAGAGCTACAAACCAGATGCTGGGATAGATTTGAGGATCCTACCAGAGATTGAAGCTGCCTCAAATACACCTTAAGCTAGAGTTTGGTTCACCCTACTTTTCTTAGCAACTAGACATTTAGCAACAGCTACTCAAACTCACATAGCACCTCCAATCTCACACCCTTGCATTGGTCCTTTGAAGCTTCAACTTATTGCCTGAATTGCTTCATCCTTTTCTTCAAGGGCAGGTTTATTGCCTACTAATAATTTTGACAGTTAAATCGTTAGAAGACTATGAACCTTACTCATAGTGCTCTAGAGATCAAAATGAGCCATGATCAATACCTCAGCATTACTACCTTGCTATGCACTTAACACTGGAAGGCAACAGAGTATGGTCTTTACCAGTCTTCCTGCTGGTTAACCAAAGTTATGGGGGAAAAAAATGTGTATAGAACACTTCCTTAGGTGGTTGGGAAATCTATTTTTTGCTTAAGGATCAAGCTGCCTTTTGAAATTGTTAGAGCAACAGTTATCAACTTGGAGTGATTTTTTTTTTCCTTTCCCCTTAGGACTATTTGGCAATATATAGAGACATTTTTTATTGTCACAATTGTGCAAATACTACTGTCATCCAGTAGGTAGAGGCCAGGGATGTTGCTTAACATCCTATAGTGCATAGACAGCCATACACACAAAGAATTTCTTACCCCAAATGCCAATAGTCCTAAGACTAAGAAACTTCACCTTAAAGAATTTTCAGGTGGGGCTAACAGAGTGCCTCAAGTGATAAAGTGCCTGCCTAGCCCTGAGTTCAAACCAGAAAAAAAAAAAAAAAAAAAACTTCAGGTGGAGATTCATGAATGGCTCCCTACTCTATCCAGCTTGTTTCACCTGCTTCATCCACACCCAGAGCTCCTGCATGATGAGCCTTCTCCAGACTTACCCTGCCAAGGAACTCCCCACCTTCCAACACCACCATCTGCATTGACTTCCCCTTGTTGCCCACAGCACCCATGAAAGCTCACCTTTTCTCAAGTTGTCATCCAGGTCCATTGATAATATTCCCCTCAGTGGCACTAGAGAGGCTTCAGATCCATGCGAGTGAACAAAGAGGAGGAAGAGGATGGAAATAAAGCTTTACCAGTTTAGTGGGGGTGGGGGCAGACATCTACAAGTCAATCCTTTCCACACTGTGAGAGTGATCAGCTCTGGCCCTAACACCTGCACTATTCCACAAAGAGCCTCTGTCTCTGTTCAGCTTTAAGCAGCATCAGCCTAACTAACCAGATATCAAGTCCTGAGGGACTTCAAGGGAAGGGGATTTGTGTCCTTCCTCATGAAGAAAATGAGGAAGAAAATAATCTGTTCTACCATTTTGCTATGTAAATGAATTCTCCTAAGAAGTCAGAGGCACTTTCTAAGACTGGATCACATGTTTTAAACATGGACTTTTACAATACTGGCTCCCACTGCTCATTCAGGTCTCTGCCTCTCAGAGGTTGTCCCTGAATTATTAACAAAGTACTGAAGCTGCTTAATGACTTAAAGAAAAATCTTCCCAGCACAAGTTTAATTCTTTCTCTGACTTAGATTTTGTTTTCCTTCTTCTTGCTTGATTAAATTGCATACCAAGGCTAAGCTGAAATGCACTACATTCCACCTTTCTGGAGCACTCCCTAGTCATAGGCCATGGGGAAGGTCACAACTGGAGTGATGTGAGCTAGAATAACATAGAACAGGAATTGGCCATAACAAATACACTGGTAAACAGATTTTTTTTTTATCATTTGTGTTTTCTTTTAGATTCACAGAATTGGACTCTCATTGACCTTCACAAAAGCAAAATTAACAACCAACCCTGGCATCCATCCATCTGGAACCCACATCCATTCCCTTATAAAAAAAAAAAAATCAAAGGAAAGACTCAACATAAAAGACTCGACACAGGGTGGAAAGATGGAAACTCAGTTTTTTTCTCTGCTTATGGCCTGTACTTCCCCTTCTAAAATGTGAGCAGAAAAATTATCTTTCTTGTTCAGTTCTGAATCCCAGCATGTGCAGAATAAATGAATATGCAACACCAACCCTTAGCTCCTTCCCCTCATCCTCCACCACCCCATATTTACCGATACTAGACCTCAACTAAGCTACAGAACTGCCCTCCTATTTTATTAGCCCACATGTAGTTTAAGGATTTAATAATTTTACAGAGAAATTCTATCCCAAATGTTTCTTCTATATCTCTGTGGTAGTTTGCTATACATGAAGCACATACAACCACACACTCTACTGGATGCTCTATACAGAGTTCCTTGTGTCTTTTGCAGCAACTGTTGCCTTGCTGGTCTTCTTGACATCAGACGCAGCTAGAGCTTAGAGGGGAAGGGCTCAGTTAGAGAATGCTTGACAAGGGCCACTTAGGGGTGGAGTTCAAGCAGGAAAGAGACCTGAGGTCAGTTACCTTTGTTCTCTACACTAGAAAAGCATATAGCCTGACATAAAGCATCATTAATGGAAAAGCATGCTTCAGGAAACAAGCAGTTTTATTATTTCAGGGAGGACAAAAACAAGATATTTTCCATAAGTTGTTTAGAAAGTTCAGGCTTTCCACCCTGGCCACTACTTTGCAAATTTTTTATGATCTACAATTGACTATCCATTTTGTTAGAGATCAGTCTAAAGGTTTAATGCTGTTAAAGAAAAAAAATTGTCAGGTGCCAGTGGTTCACACCTGTAATCCTTGCTACTCAGGAGTCAGAGATTAGAAGAATCACAGTTCCAAGCCAGTCTAGGTAAACAGTTCATGAGACCCTATCTTGAAAAAGCCCATCACAAAAATGGCTGGTGGGATGACTCAAGGTGTAGGCCCTGAGTGCGAATTCCAATACCACAAAAAAGAGAAGAAGAAATAAAGATTCTATTCATGACACTTGTTTTAGATGATAAGGCAGACTATTTAGGGGTGTCTGTGGCAATAGGTATAGAGACCACTACCAACCAACAGGCTCTTGCCAAGGGGAGAGAGGGCTTGAATGTGACAACATGTACAAGTGGGTGTTTATAAGCAAGAAACAGGTGGGGGTCAGTGGATGGTAAATGACTAAGAGGAATCATCAAGATGAGGTTCTGGCTCAACTGACTTGATAGGATTATTGCTGAGTGTGATGGATAAATTTCTGATTGTTGCCTCATTCTATTTACTTCTAGTCATAAAAAGGAACCTAGCAAATAAATGGTGCCCATTGGAAGGGTTAATGATTCCTGGCAATAGTTCCTATAGCTTATCACATAAGTTAAGAGGAATGGACCAATGTTCTATACCTGACTGATTATGAAACAAAGTTACCATTAAAATCCCTAGCCTACATTGGCCTTTCATATCCCATTCTTCAAGGCATGAGATTGCATATGCATAAGGTTGGCCATGAATTCTCCATAGATAAAAATATGCCACTTGGGTCACACAGGCCCCCTTTTCAATTCTGTTGCTCTTTAATACCTTAGTTAGAATGATATAATTAGCAGTTTATTTCCCAAGAGTTTGAGGCAGAAATATTATAGGTTAAAAGAGCACTGTAGTACTTGGCACATGAATCAGCTTGTGAGAAATTCCATCTGGGCTTTTGGTGAAGATAGTTCTTCAGATATACTTGTTGATCCTTGTTTTTATATCCCATGACTAGACTGAGTGAAAACAAATGAGATTAGAAGTCTCACTTCTCAAAAGGGACCACTATTACAATTTAAACAATTACAGTAAGGATACTGCTAGGGTTAGTCACTAGGTGGCTAAAAGATTTCTGAGGTCATGTAAAGACTTGAGTTTTACTCACAACTTACATGGTAGTGAGTGCATGTAATCTCGGTATTCAGGAGACTGCGTCAGGAGGACTTGTGAGTTTGAAGTTGGCCTAGGCTATATAATGAGACCCTGTAAGAAAGGAGAGAGGGAGGAAGGAAGGAAAGAAGGATGGAAGGAAGGGAGGGAGGGAAGGGAAGGGAAGGGAAGAAGGGAGGGAAAGAAAGAAGAGGGAAGGGAAAGGAAGAGGGGAGGAAAAGAAGGGGAAGGAAGGAAGGAAGGAAGGAAGGAAGGAAAAGAGAGAAAGAAAGATTGATTTTTGGTTTCACATGATGTAGCCTACTTTGTCAAGTTGCTCATGAAAGCTACTGATTGGAACATTCCAATTTACAGTGTTATCCTACCAAGCAAAAGAGGTAGGCATAAGCAAGAAAAATTAAGATGTAAGGATTTTATAATGGCAGAAAAGAATTTTCCCTGGTTAGCTTTACCATAAGGTCCCCAACAGGTATACAGTTCCAAGAATATGGAGGGGCTCTTTTGAGCTGTGAGATGTGGACCCAAGTTTCAAGGCCCCAAAGTTTGTAGGCAGTGAGAAGAACTTGCATGGTCCCTTCTAAAGGAGTCCAAGGGCAGTCTTTCTCTGATGTCATTTCCAGCAGACCCAATTTCTCAGTTCTAGATCATGAAGGGCTTCATTGTCTTTAGTTAGTGGATCATGAAAAGCTGCTTTTACCTGATAAAAATATAGTTTGAGATAATTTATTAAATCCCTGAAGCATCTAGTCATATCAGAGTTTAGAAAAGCAGAAGATAAATGAAGTTCTATAGAGTCACAGGCCTTCGATGACTACATAAGGGGTCAACCACATTTTCCAGTGGGAATGAATCGGATTACTTTTGATCTAGGTAATCCAGTTCATTCAATTAGTTTTGCCTACATGTGGAAATCCAGTTTTCCCAGCACCATTTGTTGAAGATGATGTCTGTTCTCCAGTGTATGTTTCTGGCACATTTATTGAAGATCAGACAGCCGTAGCTGTGTGGGCTTACTTCTGGGTCTTGTTTTCTATTCCATTAATCTACATGTCTGTTTCTTCTGCTAGTACTATGCTCTTTTTGTAACTATGACTCTGTAGTATAATTTGAAGTCAGGTATTGTGATTTCTCCATCATTACTTCTTGCTTAGGATTGCTAGGTCTTTTCTGCGTCCATATGAATTTTAGGATTAATCATGGGAATTTTGATGTGTACTTCACCTTTGGTAATGTAGCCATTTTCACAATACTAATTCTGTTGATCCATGAACATGAGAGGTCTTTCCATGTTCTAGTGTCTTCAGTTTCTTTCTCCAGTGTTTTATAGTTTTCAATGTAGAGGTCTTTCACCTCCTTCCTTAAATTTAATCCTGAATATTTTTTTAGGCTATTGTGAACAGAATTATTTCCCTAATTTCTTTCTCAGCATGTTTCCTATTAGTATGTGGAAAAAACTGATTTTTGTATGGTGATTTTGTATCCTGCTGCTTTGCCAAAAGTGTTACTCAGATCTAAGTTTTTTTGGTGGAGTTGTTAGGATCTTTTAAGTATAGAATCATATCATCTGCAAAGAGAGATAAGCTGATTTCTTCCTTTCCTATTTTAATTCCTTTTATTTCTTTCTCTTGTTATATTGCTCTGGATAAGAGTTTGAGCACTATATTGAAAGAGTGGAGAGAATAGACACCCTTGTCTTATTTCTGGTTTTAGGAGAAATGCTTTCAGTTTTTCCCAACTTAATATAATGTTGGCTATCGGTTTGTTGTATAGCCTTTATTATGTTCAGATATGTTCCTCCTATTCCTAATTTCTTCAGGACTTTTATCTGAAGTGATGTTGAATTTTGTCAGAGGCTTTTTCTTACCTATTGATATGACCATGTGATTTTTGTCCTTAATTTTATTTGTCCTTAATTTTACGTTTATTGAATTGCATATGTTGAACTAAACTTGTATCTCTGGATTGAAACCAACTTGATCATGTAGTATCTTTTTAATGTGTTCTTGAATTTATTTTGTAAGTTTTTTATTGAAGATAGCTGCATCTATGTTATCAAGAAAATTGGTCTACAGTTTTCTCTTTTTGTTGTGTCCTTATCCACTTTTGGGACCAGGGAGATACTGGTTTCGTAGAATGAGATTGGTAACATTGCTTCCTTTTCTAACTTATGGAATAGTTTGAGGAGCATTGCTGTTAGTTCCTCTTTAACAGTCTGGTAGATTTTAGCTGTGAACCCATCTGGTCCTGAGTTTTCCTTTGTTGGAAGATTTTTTATTACTGCTTCAGTCTCATTGCTCATTATAGATCTACTTAGGTAATTTATATCCTCTTGGTTCAATTTTGTTAGGTCATATGTGTCCAGAAATTTATCCATTTCTTTTAGACTTTGCATTTTATTGGAATACAAATTTTCTAAATATTCCCTGCTTATCCTCTGAATTTCATTGTTATCTATTTTAATATCCTCCTTATCATTTCTAATTTTTTAAATTTATGTCTTTTCCCTCTTTCTTTTTGTTAGTTTGGCTAAGGGTTTGTCAATCCTACTTATCTTTTCAAAGAACCAACTCTTTGTTTTATTGATTCTTTGGATTATTCCTTGAGCTTGTGTTTTTTTTTAATTTCTACCCTGATCTTAATTATTTCTTTTTCCATCTGTTGATTTTGGCTTCGACTTATTCTTGTTTTTCTAAGCCCTTGTGGTGCATTATTAGGTTTATGTATTTGAGATCTTTCTCATTTTTATGTGGGTACTTTATAGCCATAAACTTTCCTCTTAATGCTTCTTTTGCCATATCCCCAAGATCCTGGTAAGTTTTATCATGTGGCCATCTATCTTCATCTATGTGTTTGATTCTGGAATTTTTTTTTTTTTTAGTTTTCTCCCCAATTTCATCAATGACCCACTGATCACCCAAAAGTGTTCTGTTCAATCTCCAGGTGTTATTACAGTTTTTGCAGTTTCTCTTATTATTGTTTTCTAATAGCATATCTGTATCTTATGATCTATTAAGATACAACAAATTATTTCAATTTTCGTTTTTTAAGAGTTGCTTTGTA